CACTTGAAAGTTTACAAAACTGTGACACGTGTTTGGCTACACAACACCTTCTTTGGGCGTCACAAGTATTGTGACACGTCGCGATTTTGTAAACTTTCAAGTTGAAATCTCACACTGAAGTGTCTTTTTTAAATATTGTTATTGATTTTCATCAAGTAACGTGTCAGTGTAGTTATGATATCCGTAGTGACGGAGATTCTAGTAGTTTGATTCAGGTACAGATTAGTGAGGAAAGCATGTTATAATCTTTAGTACTACTGACTTGAGGAGTTGAGAAAAAAATCAAATTTGCAATTCATATTGTACTTACTTCAAAGTGAGCTTGAACTTATTCAAATTGCATTCAAGTAAATTATCAAAAATAATCTATTGTATTGTTCAGTTCCAAAAACAAGCATTTTTCCAATTACCAGAACTGCAATACTTTTCTCGACGCGCGTTTTACTAACCAAGTTGGTACTATTTACGTGTGTTTCACCACCTAACTTTGATTAGTGAAACACGCTTCAAGAAAAGTACTGCAGTTCTAGTGATAGTAAAAAGTTGTTGTTTTTTTAATTCATCCTATGCCAAAGGTTCCAGTTCTATCTTTTATTAATGTTTCTTATTTTTTTTTGGTGGAATGCTATTAGCTAATGCATATAACTTGATTCCCTTGATTGGAAAAATTTAGATGAGAGCTGTTCTAAAAGTTATTATTAAATAGGAGCCGGGGAAAATCTTTTGTGAGGCTGGTATAACTACATATAGTGTATCATGTATACCATTCATTCAGCTGTTCATAACACCAGTTGCAAGTCGTTTAAATGCAATGAACGAATGTATATGCAGGTAAGTATGTTAGGTATTTATTTGCCTACAACTTTTAGTGGAACTAGCAAATAGCTGAAAAAATATCTACTAATTATCAATCATATTCAGATGAAATACTACTTAGAAATTACACAAACCCTTCAATTCATTCAGATACTCTCACTGTACTATTCACATGTGTAAACCGAAATTATTTTGAATAGGTAATCTCTACAAGGTGTAATTTTCATTGACAACTATTTGACAACACCCAACTTCAAAAAAATTCATTTTTACATATATGTAGGCGACATTTTAGCCTGTTTCAAAGGTATACATTGATGGTTACACTCATTCTTACAATACATCAATTTCATTCACCAAGATAAAAAATTCACAATAGAACTTGATACCAATAATTCGATGAACAGTTTGAACCTAACGATCTCAAAAATAACAAACATGATTTCACAATATATTACAAACCAACCCATAGACAACCATAATCACCCTTAACATAAAGTAGCTTATGACAGCATGATCCATAGACTCGTTCGTTTTATTATATGTTAACTGAGAATTTTATTAAAGAACTGAATGTGATTAAACAGGTGGCAGTAAATAACAACTTCAATCAGGACATGATTCATCACATCATCGCCAAAAAAAGTATTCAAACAAGTATACCCTCACATTAAAAATAATAACACTGGCTTATACAGGAAATGCATCAGAAAAACCAAGTAGACTTCTAACTAACCTGAACGTCAACATATACAAAACTGATAACAACATAGGTAAAAAAATAAAAAACAACATATCCAACATACAAGGATGGCAAATCGGGTATCTACAAGCTAAAATGTGGCTCGTGTCCAAAAATTTATGTCAGAAGAACATCTAGAAATTTCAAAACCAAAATTTCGAAATATAAATTTTTGAATTAAAGAAAATCTATTCAACCTATGCATGCCATCTGGAAAACAAGCACGACTTCGACATGAACTACAAAGTACTACATACCGAAAATAAAAGGGAAAAGTTAAACCTGCTGGAATTCCTGAAAATTAATACACGTAAGCAATCAAATGTTCTTCTCTCACCAATGTTAAATTTATTTTCATGAAAGATTTTCTAGAATTAGGTGTATCATTAATATCAATGATTTCTTAAAACTACCTGTTCACCAATTACTTTCCATAATTTGGANAAACTTGTGCGAGCTAAGGACTAACGAGGTCTTACCTTTTAACGTGTGATTCCTAACACGGTTGCAGAATCATCCCAGCTTCAACCAGATAAATTCTATCGAGAAAAATATCTGATCGATACAGGAATCGAACCCACTACCTTCCGATCGTGAGTCGGGCGCACTACCACCGCGACAAAAAATAATCTCTATGATTTTTCAGTATTATTAATCATTATCGAAAATTTTACAGGCTTTCATTGAAAGACCTTTAAATCATGTGAATCTACCAACTTTCTAACTGAACAATCATTGAATAATTCCCAGAAAGTATGAACTTACGTGATATCGGTTGCTGTAAGTTAAATCAAGCTCAGTTTCCTCCATATCGAAAGCCATTCCCGGGGTTTTCACCATAAGTTTCACATAGAGAGCTTCACCCGGTTGTACCCGAATAACAAGCTCATTTCTTTTGGGTTTCCCATCAAAAATATCTCCGGGAACATCTTTGAACTGAATACGAACTTCAGCTTTACGTTCATTGAGGGCTGAAAGAAAAGTTCATGATAAGAATTGCAAAATACCTAGTTGACAATGAAGAAGTTTTGCTATATGAAGTACTTAGATATAAATATTCACTGACAATTACAAAAACAAAATGGAAACAGATGAAGATTATAAGAAACACTAATAAGTATCAGTATTTGGGGATAATTGACTCAAATGCAACATTAAACCTTCTGTTTGAAGGTGGTTGATAATGTTTCATGGTGAATTTCATTAGTTCAGACTTCCATTGTTTAATATGATACTGACATAATTT